ACGAGGATCTCGTCCCAAACGCACCCAATCCTTGTGACAGTGGATAACGTTTCTACCATTACCACTACCATTGCCATTACCACTACCACTACCACTACGACGAGGACGACGACTACTACAACTCCAACTATAAGAGCAGCTATGCTGCTCTTGCTATTGCCACTGCTTCCACCACTGCTCTCCTCCTCCTCCTCCGCCTCCGACCACGACGGCAACAACTACTGCACTACTTCTACGGCTCCTCCTCCTCCTCCTCCTCCTCCTTTTCGTCGCCGAGAAATGCGACCGCGACGACGACTACTACCGCCATCACCGTCAGGAAGACAGCAACGGCTAGGATAAGTGTTGCCACGACGACCACAATAGCGAGAACGATTGCTTCTACCGGTGCAAAAGTCCTGCTATCACTAGCACAGTGACGACTATACCACCGCTGTCACTGCCACCGTCGTTCCGCATTTGCCTGCCATCAGCCCCACCACTACGACCTCGACAACAACCACCGGCAGCGACACGACGAACAAGTACTGCCACGACGACAAGAGCTACTTAGTTGTTGACGGGTCTATCGCACTTCTACGCTTCCACGGCCGATGCTATCACCACTATAAGACACAGGCTGCAGCGGTGTGGTGCTGCCCCCGTTTGCTCATGTCCACAGCGCCCTGCCCTGTTGCCAACGGCCATACATGACTCATCAATGATCGTGGCGGCATGATCCAGGTGCGCATCCGACACTCTCTATCAAGTCGCCACTTCGCTGTTGGAGTATCTCCGTGTTTTGCCACCACGATTTTGCGCTTTTTGCCACTTGCCTTTGGCTAATTGCACCCATAGCACCGGCAGCTGTTAGTTCACCGCAGCTGCCAACCAATCTGCCGTGCGAGAAAGGGGTTGCACGGATTGCGTGGTACAACAACATATTTTTGGCCCAGGTGCGATGAAATTGCGTTGGAGTCTCACGCCGAGACTTGTGGAGGCCGTCTGGGGCATGAGACGCCCGAGGGCCCCTCAGCGAATGAGATCAGACAGGCTAAACCGTTCTGAATCGAGACGCCCTGGACATGCTGCTGCTGTGAGACTGTGAGACTTCATAAGAAGCTAGGGCGTGTTTTGCTGCCAACAACAAGAATCTAACAAGAATACACCCCCGGAGCAGCGCGAAGAAGCAGCACACGCAGCAATGGACACGCACATTGCGGCATCAACAACCTACAATCATAGAGCCATGAAGGGCATCGGTGTGAACCGTAGCCGCACGGAGTGTCGACAACAAAGTTAGTTCAATTCGCTGCATGAACAGTCACCAGCTCCGAAGCAACAGAGACCGCAGCACGAGTGTTTATGGTAGCAAAGAATGGTATAGCAAGTTCAACTATCACCAGTAGTATTATGATAGAAGAATGTTTCAAGCAGTCACAGCATCGTAGTAATGATGTAGAACCGACAAGAACCAAGCAGAGCAGCAAGAGCAAGACGACCATCATCAATACCATGAGCAACAACCCACAAACAACAAGCTCACCAACAACAACCGCAGGTTTTCCGGGGGCCCTATGTGGAAGTCACATGATCTACTAGATCGTAAAGCCCCATAGAGTCCTAGAGAGCACCCACAGCCGACAGCAGCAACAGAAAACGCGACATAATTGCTATGGAGAGTTTAAGCAAATCATGTGATACAGGCAGCTCATGTGATTAGTGCACAGGTAGAATCAGATAATGCATCCCGTACAGGAATACGTTAAAAACTTGCCTGGCTTGCACCACCATGTGCGCCAGCAGCGGTAGCAGCAGTACCGATAGAATCGTCACCAGCAGTTCTGGATAGTGTCAGCAATGAAATTGTAGCAAGTGGCCGTCAACATCACAAGCTACAATGGATTCAATCGCGCCAGTGGTGAAACGGTAGCGAAAATGACAGCACGGACAGCTCGGCAAAGACATAGGACGACGACATTGCGAGACTAGGGCCGGCTAGGGTTCCCGAAACGACTGGCCTGCGGGATCTAGAGTTGCAGGCTAAAGCTTTCCTTTCTACAGCTGAGACAGTGCCGCAAAACCGAACTCCGGAAAATGCTGTAGACCTTGCCAGGCTTGTCCGAGTGTGAGTGTCAAAACTTCCAGAAAACACGGGGAATGAAGACAAGCTCGCCAACTTCTGTTTGTTGCCCTTAAGGACTCTCGTCGAAGCTGCAAATCGACAGCTTGACAGAGGATCCGCGAATTTTCAGGGCTGTGAAAGAGAGGGAGAGAAAGAGACAGAGACAAAGCGGACAGACTGGATGTGTGCAAGTGTGGAGAGAGGGAGAGAGAGACCCTTACGCCCATAACGAAACAAAAATGGAAAGAGCGAGAGAGCCAGAGAGCCCAGTGGAGGAAGAAGAGAGCGAGACATGACCGAAATAGTGATACCGAGGTCTGGACAGTATACTGTTAGCGTTCGTGGTTTCTGTAAGGAGAGATTTACCTTTGGATTGTGCGTTTCATGCGTGTTGTGCATCATGCACATCGTCTTCAAGTAACAAGGGGATCAAACTAGATAGGTAATGTGTGTATGCAAGTACATAAGTGCAATGTATGTATGTATGTATGTATGTATGTATGTATGTATGTATGTATGTATGCATGCATGTAAGCATGTATGTGTTCGTTTTTTGTCTGTATGCCTACATATGTTCAGGTATGTGTAGGTATGTGTATGTGAGAGCCCAGTCCCTTTCAGAACCCTCGCCCTCGCTGTCGTTCCAGTGCGAGTGCTAAAAAGTGTATGCAAGTGAAAATAAGTGTATGGAAGCCTTTGCACTGCTGCAGTGCACTGTGCTTAAAAGTACAGTTGCGCGGTGTGATGCCATGTAATCGGTAGTAAGCCAGGTAGCAAGGAAGGAAGGAAGGTAGGTAAGTAGCATGCACGAACAACATGACAGGATAGCAGGGGTTGCGTCCTAAGCCCAGCATCCGATGGCATGGAGAGGAAAGATAGAATGATGTGCTACCTGGGCGATGGTGCGCAGTGCAAGGCAGCAGCAAGACAGGGTTAGGGCCCACGATGGTACGTGCACCTGGGCTGGGTAGCTTCCTTGGGCAGTACCTATACCCCGTCTGTCCCACTGCCTATGACGGAGTGGACAGGGGGACGAGACAAGAAGCAAGGGGCAAAACACAGACACGAGCGCACTGAGTCGTACGGTGTGGATGCTGCGCAATCAGGCAGGGCATGGCATGCTGCAGGAGTTCCTATGAGCGTGTCATCGGCTGGTAAGTTTGGGATCTTTGCAGGCTCGAAGGGTTCGGATTCCTGAACCTCGGAGCTCAAAGAGAGGACGGCGATGAGACGGAGTTCCGGGATGAGCTGCTGAAGGCGCCGAGCGGGGACGAGGAGGATGCCGTGGAGGCCTTCTCTCTGGATCCGGACTCTTGGATTCAAAACAGGGTTTTTGTGGTTCTTCGTTACTACCAATATAAATCACAGTTCAAGGGCTGCTCAAGAATCTGCCGAAGGCTAGGTCCGGGGGCCCAGATTCTTAGGTCTGCAGGTTTTGACAGGTCCACAATTTCGCTGCCAGTCAGGTTTCCGGGATGCGCAAAGTCTTAGCACAGACTTAGCCAGGATGTGAACCACGGCCCACGGACCTTTACCCGCCTTCGAGCCCGAAGGCTGTTTCCCAGCCCTAAACGCTAAACGTAAGCCCCAAGCAGCAAAAGCTCTACAGTAACCCTTTTGAGTAACCCCAAGGGGGACCTGAGCCTTCACTCGCCTTCCTTGGCTTAGGAGTTCGACTACGACAACCCGCCTGAGGGCATGTCTGGCAAAATCGACCCAAACGACCTCCGGCTCTTGCGGGAGGTGGGAAAAAGCTCCCGTGTACCTTCCATGACCCGGCCTCCTCAGACTTTGGCGCTGCCGTACCTTTGACTTGGGGGTTTCTTGGGCTCTCTGAGACTGCCAGGCCTGAGGGCTCCTGGCTCCTAGCACGACGTCTTAAGGCCGAAGCTCTAAACCCAGCGATCTTCCGGCCAGGTGATGAGGGTCAGCCCAAGGTCGCCGCCACGGGAGAGCCAGGAGGATGTCGCAGAAGACGCCGTCCACGAGCCGTGAGAACTCGAATTCAAACAGAAGGTAAACAAGACCCCTGGTACAAGGGCTTTTAAAAGGAAGTTTATGAAGTTTACGGGCTTGTCTGGTTTTCCAGAAATCCGACTCCCTAACTTAACCCTGATGACGTGGATCTTCGGCATCTTCCGCCATTTGTCTTTCAGTCGTCTGGTTGCCAGCACGTGTGGACCTGTCATGCCTAGTTGTCATGAACGGTGCGTCGTCTAGCCATGATGTGAAGGGTCGTCGTTTGACCGATGCCGCTGCAATGGTCATAGCTTGTCTAGCCATAATTATGATCGACAGCCTCGACGATGACCGGTGCAGATGGTTGTGGTTGTGACAGGGGTTGTGGTGAAGCTGATGGTAGAGTGGTGGCAGTGGCGGTGGCGCAGGCGGCATTGACGATGAAGGATGCTGTCCTTGAGCATGGCTGTTTTCATGGCATTGCCATTGTAGCATGGTTAAGATGGCGGCACTGGGGACTTGAAGCTGCGGCAATGACGGCGCACGGGCGCCAGGCTATGAGATGGTGTTGTCGGGAGAGCGAGTCACTCAGTCTTGCTGCACTCGCTAGGTTGCGGGTCTAACTGCAGCTCGGAGAGGCAAGTCTTGAAATTATCAAATAGACTCATAGAATAGATTGAAGTTCATGGACAAAGCATCCCAGCATCTTCGGCTTTGCCACTGCCACCACGGAGCCGCCCGACAGCATGGGCCGCACTCGTCGGGCGCCCACCTGGGCAGCGCGAGGCGCCATCGCTAGGCGAGGGGACCCAGTGCTGTGAGGTGCGGTGTAGAGTCTTAGAGTGTAGAGCATAGGTGCACGGTGCGGAGCCTCAGGGTAAGTCAGCGTATCAAATCTGCACCACGTCTCGAACTCAAATCTGAATACATAGAACCCCAAGCAACAGGAGCCTCGTTGCAAGAACTGAAAACCCCCCTTTGTTGAGGTAGACCCTAAGAGTGAGACTTTCCCTGGGAGGACTCCCGGTGCCGATGCTCTTGGAAGAAGGCAGATGTTTCTGTAGGCATCTGACTTGGAGGTTCATGACTAGCTAGTGGCGTTCACACGTCCTTTCGTATGGGTGATAACTACAGCTATCCTGCTTCCAACCCTGCGTATGACCATGAGCCGCCAAGGATGCAGCGGGCCCCGAACCTCCCTGAAAGCGTCCTAGACCCTAAACCCTAAACCCTAAACCCTAAACCCTATACCCTAAACCTAAACCCTAAACCCTTAAACCCTAAGCCCGCGAGGGGAAGATTCTTGGTCCTGCGCCGCGGCATCAGCTGCCTGGCACCGGCTGCGCGAGACTTTGCGCAGGGCGGCCCAGAGGGGCTGCTGAAAGTCAGCAGTATGGGGTTTAGGGCTTGGGGGGTCGGGGTTTAGGGGTTTTGGGAGCAGGGTGTGGTTTAGGGCTTGGGGGTTCGGGTTTAGGAGTTTTGGGAGTAGGGTGTAGGGTTGCAGAGGGAGTTTGATCACTCAGACAACGCTCTGCTTCCTGTGGGCCAGCAGTGGCCGAACTGGCTGTCACCTACAGGCTCTCGACACCCGGTTCGTCCCCACTTACTACTATGAAGCAATATACTGTACTGTACTGCACCCTAAAATAATGCAGATGCAGTATTAGTATGAAATAATATACGATAGCTGAACTCATTTGGTCTGTCATAACCCGCCACCACTTCGGAAGGATATGTCACATGGGACCCGGGGCGACCGCTGCGCACGTCCATGGCGAAGTTTGGCCAGCTCTTGCCTTTGTGGCTCGATGGCGAAGGATCCGGGGGCACCTTTCGGGGTTTAGGGTTTAGGGCCTTTTGTTTAAGACACTCCGTGTTCTTGTTGGGAACAGGAAGACCATGGCTTCACAGTTTTTGAGGAATCGTAAGGCCAAGGTTCCAGATCCGGCACTCCAGTCAGGGGAATGGTATGCTCCGCTAGGAGCTCGGGATTCTGGCCATTTGCGATCCCGATTTTCGGGATACTTGTGGGCGCACTGTGATGACCAGGTCGTCATGATCATCATTATCGCGACTAGTACCACCCCTTGCCAACCATCGAGGCTTTCCAATAACTTCATTTCTGCCGCTCTGACCACTGACATCGTTGGCTCCGTCGCACTGCGAAGTTTGCCGGGCAGGGTAAGAGGGGCTGCGCGTCTCCTCAAGGAGAGCACCGGAAGTCCGCAGGAGGGCAGATGAAGCCAACCGGCGCCACTAGGCCGTCGTTGTGGCAGATGCCCTGTGAGCCTTTCAGGACGCCGTGCAGCAGAGGAGTCTCCTTGCGCTGCCGGGGAGGCCTTCTTTACGCAGCTGGCCTAAAATTCATGGCTCCCCCCCGTCTTCAGAAACTCCCCAGAGGAGTCTTTTCCGGAGTCCCAGGCTCTTGGACTTCCTCCTCTCATCGCTGCAGCAGATTCGCGACGATGCCAGCCTTTCAGTGAACAGCCTGGCCGACGCGCTCGTCCTCTTGCGCTTGAGGAGACAGTCTCTGAACCAGAACTTAACTCGTAGAAAGCACGACCTTCTCCTGAAACTGAGCGCATCCATGCGGCTTCCGCCACGGCACACAACGCAAAAGCTACTCTGTGCAGGATCCCATCCATCTCAGCCGCCATGTTTTCGACTTGGCCAATCTTTGGATTGATGGCGCTGGCGCAGCAGACCCCTCCTCAATGAACGGGTGTGCGGGTTAGGGCGTTTAGGGTTGAGCATCAATTTTCGTGTTCTTTTGCCTTCGGGGTATTGAGGGTTGAGAGTGTTTGGCCGTGGGCGAAGGAGCTGTGATGGAACGGTGTGCTAAGATGCTTGCTGCCTATATAAGCAGTGGGGCCGGGAGGTTCTCACGAAGGTCCTTGTATCAAGTTGCAAGTACTCAGTAGCTAGCTACCGCTAGCTCTTGGAACAGCGCAATCCGGAACTCATGGCAGTTCCGTGTTTGCAGCACATCCGTGTTCAAACCCCTAATCACAACTGGGAAGCTTGAACACCACTGTTCCCATCGAACCCTAAACCCTAAACCCTAAAACCTTAACCGCCTTGCCTTCAAAGGAAGCTTTTGCGACTGGGAGGCGGCGCGGGCGCGCCTGGACTCGGAAACGGCCCGGAGCAGCTCGCCTTGGAGGCCATTTGAGCTCCCTAGGCCTCCTCTGTCTGGTGCTTAGTAGGGAATGGGGGAATGGGCTATAGGGACTACTATAAGGGACCTTAAGGGACTATCATAGGGATCCATTCCCCCATTTCCTACTAAGCACCAGACAGTCCTTGCACTTAGGGTTCTAAGCTTCGTAGAGGGCATATACTCTAAGGGTTTCAATAAGGCTTGCGAAAGTTGGGCGAATTTCAGGGTTACACTCTCAGGGTGGCTGCAAGGGTTGCTGTTGGGGTTACCACAAGGATTCGACGAGGTTTTGGCGCTTCGAGCTTGGAGGCGTAGGGTTCAGAGTGCAGTGTTCAGATTTATAGTAGAAGCCAGAAAGTTGGAATATCAAGCCCTTGAGGTAAAGTATCGGGGATCCTAGCACCAATCCTCCTAAACCCAAGTTCCAACTTTCTGGGGTTAGCCGTAAATGCTTTGGGGTGTAGCCTCTAGGATGTCCAGAATCGGCCTCGCCAGAAGCCTTGACCCCAGAAACACTGAAGCTACTTGGAGGATCATGGGACTTAGTAAGTAAGGTTATAAGTCCCTTAATTGGGGTTATAAGTCTACTTACCCTAATTGTAACCCTACTTACTAAGTCCCATGATCCTTCAAGTAGACCACAGCCGTAAAGAAGCACAGCTAAACCCTATAAACCCTAAACCCTAGGCCCTAAACCCTAAACCCTAAACCCCCAAATCCCTAAACCCTAAACCCTTGGCTGAAAATTGAAAGCCGGATCCACCAAAACCCTCTAACACCTTAGGGTTTAGGGCTTACGGTTTAGGGTTTAGGGTGTACGGTTTAGGGTCTAGGGTTTAGGGTTAGAGCACGCATACGCACGAGGACCCCGAGGGGAGCGCTTGAAAGGCAGCCCAACGAAAGATCTGGAGATTTCAACTGACGCCTCCAGAACCAGACACACGAAACCCAAGAAACACCTCATGCCTGGGATTTTTTTGCGGTGCTTTCGAGATTTAAGGGTTTAGGATTTACCATTTAATAGCTTTAGGAAGATATAGGAGTCCTTTGGTTTAGGGTCTTGTAGCTCAAAGCTTCAGGCGCCAGACTTTTCATTGCCTTGGTAGAAAAATGTCGAGGGATACGTCAAGTTTGTCTTGGCTTACTTCTGAACACTTCCTAAAAGTTAAACTTTTAGCCTAGATATTATGGTTCATATAGAAACCCAAAAAGTTAAAGTCCAAAGAGCCAACCAGAAGAACGCCAAGTTGTTGTCAACTCCGACATGAGCATCAAGAGAAGACACGAATGCGGAACTCAAAATAATGTTTAAGGTAGACCTGTGCATATGCATTTGTATAAATGACCACTCTTCCCTTCGTGGTGGTGGACCTCAAAAACGGCTGACGCACTTTTGATGTCCACAGGTCGTTCTTCCGGACATTGATAATCTCTTCAGCGTTTTTGACTGCTGAATTTTTGGGGCCATCGATGTTCAGCCAGTGTTCGGCGACGGTTGGTATGTGACACCCTTCTCTTTCTCTCCCGGTTGGCTGTTGCATCATGCTGGCCTGCGCTCAAGATCAGGACGCGCAAACTTTGGGGCCCGGGGGGGAGGGGGGGTGGTGTGGGGGTGGGGGGCTTCCACCCACGAGAGATCGATACGGATACGGGTTTAAGGTTTCGGGCTTGGCTTCTTTACTTTGAGGTTAAGGGCTGGGCGGTTTGGGTTTCAAGCCGGGACCTGTACAGCCTGAAACTTAAGCCGAAAAACTGGGCAACTTGGCAAACCCGAAAATCAGCAACACATGCTCATTAAAGGCTGAACACGGAACCCTATACAACCCAGACCTCAGTTTTCCTGACGATGGCTTACATAGTAGAGGGTCCGATGGAG